TGTGTGTGTTATGATGCACTGGATCCTGAAAATTATGGCTGCATGCTTATATTGTAGCTAATCTACATACAGTTGTTTGTTTGTTTGTTTTAAGCAAATATCTTTATCCTACTTAGCTGGAGAGCCAAGCGTCAGAGATCAAACATTATACCAAAGAGAAAGAAAGTCTTTATTATTTATTATTTACAACAAAAGTCAACTGTCAGGTTTACCATATCCCAAAACATAAGACACTGTCATACTCACACAAAAGGAATGCACTCAAAATGTATTTCCCAAACAGAATTTGTTGAGCAAAGAAAATATCCCACAACTCACATGATGCAATACAGTTTTACACCATCATAAACTATAACCTCCATAATTAATGCTGATTTTTGCCCAAAGTCGCAGGACCCAGATCACCCGCATCCCTAATGACATAAGCAGTATAGAAAATGGTTGGATGGATGTTTTCATATTCTGCAAGGGGTCCTATTGTTGTGCCTTTGATTGGCCAATTTTTCTTCCTGCCTTAAAAAGTGCATTTTCTACTCACAATTGCTATGACGTCTTTATTTGAGAGATCACAGTCATCTGGCATCTGTGAGAACAGAGCACATGCATGTGTGCGGAGCTGTCGCAGTCTATTAGAGGTATGAGCGGCCAATGCATTAGAGGCAATGAAGTGACAGGTACATATTGTCAAGGCCCATTGACTTCTTTGCAGTGTGGCTGATTGACTGTCGAGAGTATGTTGAAATGGTGGTTGTGAGCTTCTCTGTTATTCAAATGGTGTGCTCATGCAGCAGAATTTGGATTTTTAAAACAAACTAACAGCATACTTCTATTGACCATTTCGTATTATCAAAGTATCTGAACAATGCACTGGGGAAATAAAACCCAATCATAGAATGTGTGTATTTTTTTGAGGGGGATTACTCAAACTGTTTGTTGTTGAAGGGCAGGATCTTTTATACATGCATTGATGATGAAATATATTAAGGTACTGTGATGCACGTTGGATCAGCAAAAAAAAACAAAAAAAAAAACAGT